TGACTCACACCCCTCATTCACTCTTCTCTTTTACTGTCTTTTTATGATCCATCAAAATGATGGTTTACGATGATGAAAAGGCATAAAAAAGATATAAAAATCTAATTCTTTTTATAAGGAGTAAAATTGTGAGGCTACACAAAATTCTCTGTTTGTTTTGGCTGGCTTTCGACTTTTATACACGATAGTAAAAAAGAAATTAAATTATGTTTGACATTAAGTGATAATTAACAATCATATTTAAATGGTTTTTGGTTGCTGTTGTTGTCTTTGGCATGTGTACGTAGTAGTCGACAAATAATTTGCAATAAAAATAAAACTTTTTATTATCATGACTCTAATTTAGATTTTTTTGATATTTTATTTGATGGCAATTCGTTAGGAATTATCGATGGTAGAATGGTTCTATTTATGCGTGTGAAATTTCTCACACTCATGGGAACTTTTAGCTGTTGCTTCTTGCTGTTTATTGGGCTTACACGGAGGATTATTTTCAGTTTCAAGTGATTTTTAATTTGAGAGGCCCTGAATAAAACGATTTCTTGCTTGGTGTCTTGGAGTTAGAGACAATTTTGTCTTCCATGCTGGATTAGCTTTGAGGAATTTTTTTATGGTTTGCAGTATTGAATTGAAGTTACTCAAGGAGGCTCTTAAAAGTTTTAAAAGGATTTAATTGTAAATTAAGCATTAGCAACATACTAGCAGCAGTGACAGAATGGTCAGCATTAAGGTCTTCCACACAAGATCGGTACTAGGTTTGATTCCTAAGCATTGCCTGAGTAAGTTCTAATGAGAGATCAAAAGGGAACATAATTGAATTGGTTTGAGTAATTTTTGAATGACCTGACCACCCAGTACTTGAAAATATTCATATATACCAGCTAGAACTTCATGTTATACGCCCAGAAGTTGATCTCAGACTGCCAATTGTAGAGACACAACCTTACTTAGGGTTTTTTTTTTATTTATATATTAACAAAATCAAACCTAGAAGTTCACAAATCCACCTCAATTTCCATAATTCTTCTTTATCTTCCAAAAATCACTGAGACCATGTATCATCGATATATTGTGTCAATGGGATGCTCATGTTTTTACAGCAACAAAACCTAAAAATAATTCATAAATCATAAAAATTTTGAAGCATCTACATGAAAAAATATTTTTATTTTACCTTCTTTTGAATGTCCTTTTTATCTCATTTTCTGCTTGCCGATGGAACATGAACCATTGCGAAAGGCAGTCATAAATTATCCTTAAAGTGCAATACACAAAATTTTCTGCAATAAGTCATACATTGAAGAAAATGAGGAGAAAGTTTTGCGTCACATGAGAGAAATTATTATGAAATGAAAAGAAAGGAAAAAAAAGGTTTGAGTCGTAAAAAAATCATTTTATGCCCATTTATTGCTGTTTTTACGAAGTGGAAAAAATACCCCCTTCATGAGACATTTTACTTCAAGTACTTACTTATTGCCCATTTAAAATGATAAATTTTTCAACATCTGTTTTCTTAATTATAGAAAACATTTCATTAAATTTACAAAACGTCTTCATCTAGTTGACTAGTTGGATGGATTTAATTATTGGCTTGTTTTGCTGATCTCTAGTGCAATGCATTCGATGAATATTAGGAAGTATGGCTTGTAATTTTAATTGTTTGATATTTTTTTCCTTCTTTTGTGAATTACTGTATTAACCTAGAAATGAAATAAATCAAGACAATTGAGAATTTTTAAAAAATATGTTTCATGTGTTTTTCATTAAAATGTTTGTTTTTCAAGAATCAAACTTCTTAATTTTCAGGAAATGAGAGAGGATTGGAATTTTAAGGATATTATTTCAAAAAAACAAGCATTTCTAATTCAAATAAAATAATTTTATTAAACAAAAATGTTTTAAATTTATTTAAATAGTTTTGTAGGTTTATAAAATAACTCTTATTTAATTAGGTTGCTTTATACTTATTACAGAACCAACGCTACTTCAAATGAGATTTAAAATCTAAAATTATTTTTCAGCATTCCAACAAAATTTTGTGCTATATTTCAGCTCCAATTAAATAGTTTTTTTTACATTTTATTGCATTTAATTTTTAATTTTATTGAATTTCAGATTTTTAGGTACTATTGTAATGGCTTAATTTGCATTCAGAAAAATATAAACTATTTTATGGTGATTTTTTTAAAGTTTTTGAAATTGTTACAACTTATTTAAACTTTTGGAAAAAATTTCAATTATTTTAAGCCTTTAAAATAATTTTTTTAACATTGTTTAATTTATTTCGAACTTCTTCAAGTCATTTCAAATTATTTCAAATTACTAAAACTATTTTTAATTTTTTTTTCAATATTTTATATAAAAGTTGTAGGACCATAAATTTAAAATACAATACTGAGATCACCAAAAACATATAATTTAAGAAATAATCATTAATTCTATTGAGATCATTAAACTATCAACCTACATTACCTTAATATAATATTCTAATTCCTACAACTACCTATTCACTACATCATACCCCAATAGATCCATAAAAACCAATGATTTAGACACTATTTGAATGCCGTCAATACTTTTAATAACTTTCATTTTTTCCTTTTCCTTCTTCACATACACGACAGGAAAAGAAAATATGAGAAATTTTTTTTGCTGATCTTCAATATTCTTTACTTCACATTATATGAACTACATGATGTGAGACTATAAATATACATTCTAAATGAATAATAAAAGTCATCGAATCAAATATAGAAGTTTTGTAATATTATTGGTAGTTTGGGATGAGGAAAAAGGAAAGAAAAATATTGAGTGACATAATACGGAATTGTTGTTGTAGTTTCAGGAAGTTTTTGAAGGTTTATGATTAAGATTTTTCAAAATACAGATTCATTTTAAAATCTTTAAATATTTTGAATTCTTTGTTTCTCCAAAACTAGTTTTGTAAGGTCTGATAATTATAAATAATTATTTAAAACATATTTTATTATTATAAATAAAATTTATCAAAATTTTATTGAAACTTTACCCAAAATAGTGTTTTAAAAATTCAATATTGAATAAAAAAATATTAAAATATTTTAATAGTTTTATCATTTATAAATTTATGTTTCTGCTTGAGTAAATACCTTCAAATTTTATTTTCAAAGAAAATTTCTTTCTTAAAATTGCAATAATAATATTAAAAAAATTTGAAAAATTCAATTCAAATAATTTTTAAGTGTTCGTGAAAAATTATTTAAATGAAATTGTACAAAAAGTAAATTATTTCTTGCAGAAAAATGTTAAAAATTTGGAGGCTTTTTAAAATTTTGAATTTTTTAACAATTAAAATAAAAAAAATTGATTTAACTTTTTAAATAAAATTTTTTTTGAATAATTGAATATTTCAGAAAACTAGCTATTAACATCCAAAATTAAATTCTTCAAAATGATCTTCAAATCACCATAACAATTTAAGACAAATTTTAAGCCAAATTTCAATAAAAATTTCAAGAAAAAAATTGCGATTAGAGAGCATCATGAAGACAACAGCGGCTCGAACTTAATCACAAAACGCACGAAGCGAGCATTAAGCAAAGCCAGAAGAAATTTCTTGCGCAACTCATGTAGTCACAACTACACATTCAGAGTGTAAATGAAGAAAAGATTTAACGAATCCAGCAGAGATGAAAAAGAATATTTAACGAAGAAAGAGAGAGAGAAAAAAAGAGCGAGAGAGGAAATGTATCAAAAAGAGAGCCTCTCACCAATACATTTATAGTTAAATAAAAATAATAATCAAAATGATGAATTGTATGAGGAGCGAGAAAGATTACCAACATATGATTTTCTAAATGAGCACGAAAGAAACGGAAGATTGCGCAAGTTCAATACTCGTGTAACTGAGAAAAAGAAAATGAAATGAAATTATTCTTGAATGGAGCAAGAAAAAAAAACTTTTCAATACAACACACATTTTATTTAATATGTTGTTTTCATTATTATAGATACTTCCAACTATAACACTTCACTTCAACTCTCAGTGCAACTCATTTTTTTCGATTCTCGGTGTGTTTCACATTCTCCGCTGTTGTTTTATTTTGTGCGCTAATAACAATAAAAATAATACTCAAACCGTTCGGTAATATATATATATTTTTGGTGTATTTGGTGTTGTTGATTCATACGTTTCATACGACTCAAAGTGAAAATATATATACACACAATATATTTTCATCGGGTGCGATTCTCTTCCTTTTTGGTGACGATGAGATACACAAAATAATATTTATACATATATTTTATAGTCGAGCTACTCGGTCTCGGGTTCTTATACAATATAATTCTCCGCATTCATGATAGTGTGACTGAATGGTTGAAGAATTGTGATTTTCAAATCATTCGTATCACAACTTCGGATAAGTGAAGGCGCGTTTTTGATTTTATTATTATTTTAATTATAATTGTTATGATTATTGTGCTATTTGAGCTGCAATAACAATAAAACAAAATTATATAAATAAAAACCGACGAACAGACAGAAAAAAAATATATAAAAAAAATAAATTTGTGAATTTTCAATAATAATTCAAAAAGGCGCTAAAAAATTTTGAGGAACTAAAAGAATTAATTGAGTTCAAGAAAGGAGCCAAAGAGGCAAGTAAAAGTGACCGGAAAAAAAAAATCAAGTGACGATTCCGAACAGCTTAAAGTAATAAGAAAGTGATAATCATAAAAAGTATCATAAAAAATCCATAAAAAGTGAGATAAACAAAGGAAGACAAGGCACCGCATTTAGTGATCAAAATAATCCATAAACAGTGACTTAATAATTTTTTTGGTGTGCATCAAGTGACCGATTAAAGTCACATCATTTGAAACATTGTCAATAAAATAAAATCATAAAAAATATTTCATTGAGTGTCATAAAAAATTAATTTATGAAAAAATTCATTTGAAAAATTGAGAAATAATTTTTAAAAAAATTCAGAGAAATTTTAAAAAATCAGATTCATTCAATAAATTCAAAAATCATCAGAATAATTCACAAATCATCGTAAAAAAATTCAAAAAAAATTTAAAAACTCATTTTAAAATCTTAAAAAAAATAATAATAAAATTCAAAATTTTGGTACCACAGCAAAGTACCCAAAACCGAGCAAATATCCACAAAACAGTGAACAATACACAAAAAAAAGTGAACCGAACAGAACCATAAAGTGTAATAAAATGCATAAACATTCAATAGTGTGTAATTTTTTGGCATGACATTTATGATCATATAAACACATTTTAAAAGGCAGTGAAATAAATTTTCAATCTTGAGGAAAGGAAGGAAGAACTTTAATCATAAAAAAATAAATTAATAATTATGCTAAAATTTATTGAGTTGGAGTGAAAAAATAATTGTGGAACTGAATTGAAATAAAAAAAAATTGAACTCTTTAAAATAAATCACAAATAAAAAAAATTAAAAATGAATTCATATTTCGAGCAATCAGGCTTTTACGGCCATCCCCATCAAGCAGCAGCTGGCATGATGTCAGCTTCATCAGGCCATGATCAAACATCAGCAGCCGCAGCTGCAGCATACAGAGGATTTCCATTATCACTTGGAATGTCACCATATGCTAATCATCACTTACATCAAACGCGTACAGCTCAGGACTCGCCATACGATGCCAGCATTACAGCAGCATGTAAACAAATTTACGATGGCGCCTACAATAAAGATTGTTCAAAGTCAGTCACAGCGACTGCGAATGGTACAACAGCTAATAGTGGCTCAGCGAGTGCTGGAAATAATGCCACAACAGATACAAATGGCTATAAGGATGTTTGGAATTCCTCTGGCAATAATGGATCGCAAAATTCAGCACCTGTACGTCCATCAGCCTGCACACCAGACTCACGTGTTGGTGGTTATATTGATGCATCAGGTGGAAGTCCAGTAAGTCGTACCGGATCATCAGCAACTGGCGGAGCATGGAACACAAATTGTTCGATTGGTACAACCGGCACTCAATCAACAGCATCAGCAAGTTTACATCAGAATCACACATTTTATCCCTGGATGGCTATTGCAGGTGAGTTTCTCCCTCTCTCTATATCTTTATTGTCTATTGTGTGTTGCTGTTAAGGACGAGAAAAAAAAAATTGGAAAGTTTAGTGTTGTGCATTCTCGTGCGGGGTTGATAATTCTTCTTTTGTGTTATGCTCTATCCCGAAAAAAAATAAGAATAATAAGTAGAAGTGAATCAGCATAACAAAAAGAAGCCCTTCTAGCAACGAGCACAAGTTTCCTTACAAGAAATAAAAAGAAGCAAAGAAAAAAAATTTCACATAATGCAAAAAAATGAAGCAACCATCTATCCACGGGAAATGAAGGGTGCTAACAATTTCCTTCCTTATTATCATCATCATCATCATCATCCATAGTTATAATTTTCCATACACAATATACTTACTTCTTCAGTGCATGAAAGTGAGGAAAAAAATTATTTTTTTTTCATAAAAAGGAGAGAAAAACGAGTTTCATCATTGTTATTATCCCTTCTCCCCCCGGTACACACTCTACTCTGATTTTCATATTCAATTCGACATTACTTCTTTTTTTTAAGCCACTAGTGGCGAAAATTTTATGTAAATTTTAATGAGTGCAAAAATGGGCTCTTTAGTTGAAAAATGAATTACCCGAAAAAAATGAGATTATTTTAATAACCGTCATTAAATGAAGTTTTTACTATGTGATGTGATGTCGGGTGCCTTGTTGGAAGCTAACGAATAGAAAAAAATGGAATAATGTTGTGGTTTTGAGGTGTGAGAATGACATTTATGGTTAATTAAAATGATGTTGATTGTTTGGTGAGCCCTTGAATGCATTTTTGGAGGTATTTAGGGGTCTCATAATTAGTTTCAATATTAAAAAGATGAATTTAATAGTTTTATGTGTAGTTTGAATGAAAAACTACCAAAAATCCAAATAAAAAATTATCAAAAATTCACAACAATTTAGACACAATAAATTGATTTTTAAAGAATTTATAAAAGTTTAAAACAACTTAAATAGATGATTTATTTTTTAAAATATATAAATCATTCAAAAAATTCTGGCAAAATCTCCACAAGTCCATCCAAAAACTGACAATCAAAAAACCATTTTATTGCTCCATAAAAATAATTCCACAGTTCCAATAAAAAATTAATTTGAATCTAATTTTTTTCCCATCAAACAGTCACTAATTATTTAATACGTCCACTCATGTTATCAGCTCCAATCAATTATTTCATAATTTATATCATTTCCATAAAAATAATGCAAAAAAATCCTCAATTGCTTCTGTACAAAAAAAATTATTTTACTTAAAAAAAAATATTTTGTGCGAGGAAGAGAAGTGAGCCCATAAATTGTTTTAAATTGCCGTCGGACAGAGAAAATAAATTAATTTTTATTACTGCTCTCGCATGTACGTATATGAAAAATTCCCAAACTTATACGAGAAAAAAAATCTTAAGATCGATTTTTTAGAGGCACAAAAAAATAATATTCTTACATGTTTACATAACAACAATAGCGAGGTGTATTGTGTATCTAAAAATGTCTCTTCTTTCTCATAGAAAATGTCGCTTCTCCATTTGGGAATTTTTTTTTATTTTTTTGTTCGTTCGTGCTGCTCGGAGTTGTTTTTAAGGTGATTATTGTAATGGGGAAATAAAAATATTGAAACTGAATGTTTTAAGCTGTTGTAAATTTTTTCTAAATTATCTAATGAAAAATTTGAGGAATTTTTCTGAAATTATTTGACAATTTTAATTAGAAATTTTGGTGATTCTCAGTTAAAATTGAATAGATCCGCTTTATTTTACCTTTAATTTTTTATTGAATATTTTGCTGGTTGAAATTTAATTCTTATATTTAAAAAACATCAAAATTGATTTGAAAAAATTAAAATCTTTTTTAAGAGTCCAAAATTGAACTTAAAATCATAAAGCTGAATTTAAAATGATAAAAATAAATTTTAAATGATAAAAATAAATTTGAAAATGTTAAAGGTTTTAAAAATCAATTTTGAATTTATGAAATTTAATATAAATTTTAAACATTTAATATAAGTTTTGAGAATAAAAAAAAATTAGAATTTGAATTTAAAAATGTAAAATTTATTAATAAATTAAAAATCCATGTCAACCCCCTCAAAAGTCCCTTCAATATCTCATCCCGATCACAACAAATAAATCACCCACAAAATTATTTTGTTAAAAAGAATCTTAATCCGTTGAATAATCCAATAAAATTTTTTATAACAAAAACACTCAATAAAATTAATTTTATAGGTCTATAAATTGAAGCGGTTATAGCTACTTTTAGTATAAAAACATTGCTTTTTAAGTGATGAGGAATCAAATGTGATGTGGGGGGTTCAAAGATGAATTCTAAGTTTTTCATAGCTTCCGAAAGAATAAAAATAAAAATAAGTTTTTTCTTCATCTTTTTCTGCTTGAGCATATTCAGCATATGCTCTCTCATGTAAGACTGCTTCATTTTATTACATTAAGTACATTGTAACAATTTTTATATCCTCGAGCAATTTAAGCTTGTTAAAAACTTATTAAATATTGCAGTTTAATTATGTCAAAAATGCAAGCAAAAATTATTTCTAAAATTGTACATGCTTGTATGGATGTACTCAAGTGTAGAACTAACAAAACGTTGAGATGTAGACAACATTTAGCTATTTTAAACGACAATTTAAAATGTCGCAATTAATGAAATTAATTAAAAATGATGAAAAAGAATCGATAAATGTTTTTAAAAGGAAAATTGAGTTGATGTACTGATCTAATGGGTTTTATGTCTTGTTCTTTATGGGAATATTGTCAGATATTTGCATTATAAGTTTGTAAAAATTTTAAAATTTTTTTTTGTGATTTTTAACATTTATTAACATTTATTTCTATTAAGTTATCCTTAATTTCCTTAAAAAAATTGACACAAAATTCTCATAAGGAATTAAACTTCCTAGTATCCAAGCAATAAGCAACATTAGTCTACTAGACCCATCGAGACAAGCAACACTCATTATCATGTAAATGAAATTATAGATGCAAGTCCATATCTACCCATTAATCTATCTATCCATTCATCTATCTAGCGATCTATCATACAAGCTTAAATGATATAACCTTCAATAAAAAATGAATATTTACTTACTGAATTTATGAAAACGCACATGAGTATGTTGAAGCTCGCTGTAATTTTATTTCATTTTCTTTTTTTTTTGATATTGAAAATAACGAGGTGTGAATATTCAGTTTGGGTTGGCTGCTTGAGTCGTGTTTTTTGCTGTTCCTGAATCATGTTATAAAGTTTCTTTTAAATGAGTGAGTCATGAATATTTTGGACGTCGAGTTTGAGGCGATGCGGAGATGTTTAGCGCGGTTTTCGAAAGCTGTGGAAGAAAAATTGAAATTTTTGATAAGTTTTTAATCCTTAAAAAAATATTAACAACTCATAAATCAGTCCAAATGCGCATCACACATCCATAAACTCAAATCTAATCACAGCCCACTTACTCACTCCATCTTAGCAACAAGCCTACCTCTCTAAACAGTAGCGAGATATTTTCTTTTATCAATCATTAAATTAAAAATTAAATGATCAATTAAATATGATTTTTTTTTTGCTGCATAATTTGTAATTAAATAATCTAGTTCAAGCGTAAACATATGTGGAAATCCGACACGTAAAACGCGTAAAACTTGTTTCTTTATATATTTTATCTTATTATTATTTTTTTTTTGCTTTATTTTAATATTACATTTATAATTTTTTTTTCTTAATAAAAACGCAACCAGTAACAACAACAAGCATACTCACTGGACGATCGAAATTAAGTCAGCTTTAACTGTTATCTTAAAATGAGACAATTATTATATATAAAATGTGAATGTCCCGTCTTCGTGTAACCGCAAAAAATAAATTAATAGCTATTTTTATTGAGAGAATGAAGTGGATATGGGCAGATTGGGTTTTATGGATGATTGAAGATGATCTTTGTTGATTTAATCGATTTGATTAGGGTTTGATGGGTGGATTTAAGGATGATTGGGTTTGGTTGGTTATTATTTTGATTGATTTGAGGTAATAAAAGCGCATCTAGTCCATATGAGTAGATAATAAGCTTAAAAACCCTCCATATATCTAGCAGATCTTCACAAATCAGTATTGCTTTCTAATGAAGTTAATTAACCTCATAAGGCTCAATAATGATCTCTAATATGCTACCAAATCCCAATTAATATTCAATACTCAGCAAATCAGTAACCAAAACTCAGTTGGTGACCCTTTACAGCTCATACAGACCCCCTTTAACCCTCATAGATGCACAATAGCTGTCATATATCTCATAGACCCCCCAAAACAATCGCAATGGACCTAAAAGAATCTTAACTCAACCAATACAATTTCCATCGACCAACTTCTCTCCATCTCTCTCCCCTCATTCAGTTCTTCACGAATCTCTATGAAAATAAGCAAAGAAGAAGTCAAAGAAAGCAAAAATTTCTTCAAAGTTTGAAAGCATTTTAAGTACATCATGTATTTATCTCCTATGTAAGCATCTCGACCCAACGATTATTGCCATCAACAGAAGCATCAAGCAGAAGCGATGTCAGTAGTACATGAGAAAATACATGCAAGATGTATAGATAGATAGTTGCATTGCGATTATTATAATAGTGTATATATAAAAAATCTTTCTCTTTCTCTCTTTTATGAGACATTAATTGACGTTACGTGATTAGTAGGGTCTGATGGAAATCGCGGCAAAACTGATTTAACTGATATCTAACATTCATGGTTATTGCTTTTATATGTTCAAAGCGTTAATTAGGTGAATAATAGTAAAGCTTGCAACGGAAAGGCATTTTAAGTGCTATTTGTGCTGCTTATACATTTTGCTTACAATAATTATAACAACGGCATACATTGAAGCCTTACCAACTCGACATATATGCCTGTCTCACTGCCTATTAAATTAAATAACCATTGAGCATTAATATAAACTTTATGCGACACATAGACACC